TAACACACTTGCTGAAGTCCATGTGCAATTCTTCGGTACATTTGATTCAAATCTGGCAAGTACTTTTCCTTCAACATTTGTATCTGTAAGTTGAAACAAACAATAACATAAAATCATGACATTTGAGCCCTGCAGTTAGGTCTCCTTCACAGCAGGTTTTGTCAATATTGCAAATAGTTGGACTTGGCGAGATAATTGAACATGTTCCTCAACAGCAAAGCAACTAAGGGGCTCTTGAATACTTACTTCTGGGTTTATTTGACAATTTTTTGTTCTTCTGCCAATCTTAATGAGGAAGTGATAAAAAAGACATTTACCTTTTGGAATAATTCTTCTTGCATTTTCGCTATGACAGATAATATATTAAAATTACGTGAGTACGTATCGCTCAAATAAATAAAAGTAAAACAGTATTCGTCATTTGCTTGTTTAAAACAGAAAAGATCCGATAAGTTAAATGTAAGAAACTGATAAGGAAAATATTATTCCATTATTTGCTAAAACTACATTTATGAATTACACCTATGACACACGGCAATATCAAATCTTCTTATTATAGCGTAAATAAATATATTTGCGCACTAAGTTACAGGCTAAAAAGCAAAGCTCTGTTCTTCACCAAAAAAGTAAAAAAGCAAAGCTCTGTTTTATGACGGGAATAGGAATCACCAACTCAACAACACACTGCACAAGCATAGTGACACACTTAACAAGCTAGTTGAATGAATAATATAACGCACATAACTGATGTTCCCTACGATTAATTGGAAAAATTTAGAGAGTTACTCTCCATTGAAACTGCCACCGTTGTTATTTGCTGACGATAATCCACCTGAATCCATAAAGCAAAAACCAAAAACTAATAACAAAATCTTTAAAAAGGGATGCATCATTACATTATCAGCATTCTAAATCTTAATTTGTCTACATAGGTAACATAAATGATGATGATAATTTCAAGATTTGAAATATGAACACACCAGGCCTGTTGCAATAGCAAAAATCTTGTGCTCACGACTTTGTGAAAACTTTTTAAGTTCATGCAGTTCATCATCATCCAAATGGTGATATTGCCTCACTGCATTCATTCTACAATTTCAAAAGAAAAAGAACAGTTCTTTTACAATTTATCAAGATGGTGATGAGTGAGGACTTCATATAGAACTGCAAATAAAGTTAGTAAACAATAAAACAGTCCAAAATGCGATAGCACATGGTGCATAGCATTGTACCCAAATAGCTCACAATTTTCAACAAAGTCAAAAAATAATTGACAATGACTAGCGTATATATATAAAACACTAAAAAATAACAAAACAGAACCTCTTAAAAACATAATAATCATTAAGTGCTTGAACAATAGTATATCAATGTCCAACAAAATTTTTTAGCACATGGTTTATCCTTATATTTGCAAACCAATTCCCCTTCTTCATCAAATAAAATCATCATAGCAATAATCAGCAACAAATCCTTCAATCTTCTCTTCTTCGAATGTTCAAAGAGCAAATCAAGGGTACAAGAAGAGATTTCATGCCCAAGATATGTTCAGTGAGTACTAAACTACTCAAAATTAGGTTGTCCAATGATGATTCAAGTGAACCTCCTGTTATAGCCTCTGCAAAATCACATAAATTAGGACTCTTGCTAACTTATTTATATGAAGCATGACTTATAGACTTACAGCTAGTCAAAGTAGATCCTACAGCAATGCAACATCAGAGCTGTATGAAAGTTGCCATGCAAGACACTTGGTGAAGCACCAAGTTCCGTTGCAGTGAACTACCATAGTGCTATTAATAACTATGCCTCAATGAAAATACATCATCCATATGTAATTTCAATTTTCTCTTTGCTTTCAATTTCTATTTTGAAAGATACATAAAAGTATAGTGATTTAAAGCACACCAAAAGATACTGCCAATGACCAATTTTCCTTTCCTGAAAAGTATTAACCATCACCAAGATTTTCATAAGACAACCCAAAAAAACATAAAAAAGGAAAGAAAAACAAGACTTTACTAGTTGAATGACTCATTGAGCTCAGCTCTCTAGAAATACAGGTAATGGTCACTGAATATGATGAGATGAACCAAATAACATATTAGCTACAGAGCTCAAAATGAAGAATAAGAACTTGTGCACTTGTTAAAATACTAATATATCAAAGGAAAAAAAATTAGACTATGAATTAAAACCTCACATATGAAACACCAGCATATCAAAAGAAGTTGGAAAGATCTGAATCTAATTGTAATTCTGAATTCTAAATGATCATATTCAAACAGAGAATTAAGAAATAGTGTTACAAGTTGGCCAACCAAGCACAATGGCACCACGAGTCCACCACAGCTCCTTCACTAATAATCAACATTTTATTATTAGATTAATTTTATATGAACATGAGCAGTTTGACGGCACCATTTCCATTTTACACCAACTGCAGCACCGACACAAAAGCTTTTCAGATTGTTGAAGTGATACAAAAAAAGATTTAGGCCTACATTCGTTTGACAGATTTATTGCGGGAGTGAGGCTCCAATTCATCTCTCCAATCAGTTTCATCCATAGCTGGTGCTCCTCCTAGTGTAATCTCCAATTATTGGTACCTATCAAATCTGTAGATCCCATAACTAGATTATTTGAACCAAATCGGACTTCATAGACAAATATAAAAGGGGATGATCTATGTAGATAAGTCAATGCAAAGGCAATCATGGAAATTATTGTTTTGCCTTGGCCCATTGTCACAGAACGAAACCAACCTTCACGAATCATTATGCATTTTGTCTTCATATCCTAAAATCACCAATCCAATCCAATAAATAGGTGTTGTCTTCTGTAAAATATCTTTGCTAATCATTTGATTAGTTAGAAATAACATTTGATGAAACATTTAATATGTGCACCTATTATAACAACTACTTTGGGAAAAAAAATAAATAAATATGAGAGAAAAAATGAATTAGAGTCTTATACCTAGAATCAAATTGAATATCAAATTAACTCTTATATTAAGGTTTAAAATATAATTTTTTTGCCCAAGTGGTAAAACATAATAATATCTTATGAAATATTGAAATGAACCAATCAAAAATCAGAGTAACGAGAAGCAACAAAAATAAAAGAATGAAATGACTATCTTGTATATTTCACTTCACAATACAAATGATATGCAAATAGGAATACTGTTATACATAAGTTACATTTATATTTCAGTGATCCGTGAATACAAGTAGAAAGTGAGTTGCAAGATTAATCATATCCTGGAGGAGTAGAAGTGGGGGTTACTTGGAAAAATATGAAGATAAAGAGGGACAATATTAGAATGTGATCCATCAATAAAATTCAACTAAAAAAAATATTGTGGGACAAAAATTTAGCAAAAGAAAGAAAGTAGATCAATCATTGATAGCTATTAAGTGGACATTCAAACGGAACAGAAAATGGGGGGAAATCAAAAGGAATAAAGAGGGAACGTTTTAAAGTGGGACCAGAAGTTATCGTTTTTCATGGATGAGCGGACAATTTGATATCCTAATAATTAAATAAAAATTTATTAAAACATAATTTTTTCCGACGAAGTATTAAAACATAATTGTATCTGTAACCAAAAAAAAAAAAATTGTATCTTATGAAATGAATCAATCAAAAATCAAAGTACAGAGAAATAACAAAAATAAAAGAATGAAATGACTATCTTGTATATTTCGCTTCACAGTACGCACAAATGATACGCAAATAGGTATAGTGTAATACATAAGTCATATTTATATTTAAATGATAGATGATGGAAATTAAAATCCATGAATGTGCTCCATTAATAAAATTCAATTATGAAAAATATTGTCGGCCAAAAATCTAACTGAAAAAAAGAGTAAAAAGAAGGGAAAATTGCAACCAAAAAAAAAACTATCGAAATAGAAAAATTATAAATAAGAACTACAACAACATTAGTATTGGTTTTAACAATAATTTTTATAAACGGCTGGTGTGCAATTTTTTAATTTTTAAGGTTTTTTTTTTGTGATTTTTTCTAAAAAGAATACATCAATTATTAATAGCTATCAAATGCTGTCTTACTAAAAACCCATTTTTTTTATACAAAAAAAATTAAGTTAGGTCCCACGAACTCACCAGAACCGAAATATGCCTCCAGACTTGAGAAGCTTTTATAAAAGTACTTACAAATCGCCCACCAATAAAGTTTTCACATTGATAGTGAGGTTCAAATTCATAACCTTATAAATTATGAGTCAACTGCTTCCTTATCAACTAAACTAACTCTCATTAGTTATTAAAAACATTTTCTAAGAAAACTGAATAAGATAAATCCATAGACCAAAAAAAAAGTACAACGCATATTAGCTCCGTTTTGACGGATATTTGGACACCTTTCTTGTATGTTTGAACCAGTTTCTATGTTTTCCCCTTCATATAAGGGATACAACAAGCAATCGAGAAGCGGAAAGAGCTTCCTAATATAAAACACCCATGTTGGCCAAATTATTGCATTCTGATCATAAATTTTGTTTTTAAGCATTTGATCGATGTTTAGAAGATATTTTGGAGGTAAGGAATTCATTGACTAGTGACGTCCAATTGGGAGGGAGGGTGGCTGTATTTAGTGAGGAGTCTAGGCAAATTCTTCCGGTTATACCTGGCGGAAGCAGAGAAGATTTACGATTATAAATTTATCTAAGTGATAATGAAATAAATATAACTCCATTGTATCATCGTTTCTCCTTTATAGAGTCTTTTTTCACCCCTCTTTCGGCCAAATTTTGATAGAGGCTGTTAAAAGTTTGCAGTTGAGAAGGAAAACATCAGCACAACATAATTTCTTTCTTTTGGTCCAAAGAAGTCACTCTAAGAGCCTATTTGGAATGATTTATAAACAACTTGTTAATCATAATTTACGAAATACGAGATAAGCATATGATAAGAGTTTTATTTCAATTTACGTTAAACATGCTTATATGCTTATAAATGATTTCAAATGTGAATCCAAACGGGGCCTTAAGTCTTATTCAAGCATTCCTCCACATTATAACAAAGGCCTTACAAGGCAATATGTGCCAAACAACAGACTACAGTACACATAAAACACTACAACCGAAATAATGGCATATAGACATAACAAACATTTGGTCCACATTATTTGCAGTGGCATGAGGAAATGAGTATATAACAGAGGAGCTATCAATAAGTGACAAAGTCAGCTAGGTACTGCGGTTGCTTCCGTTTTCTCTCACACTGTCTTACTGCAGCATTTCTCTCTCCACCTCTGGTAACGCGACCTGCCTTTCTAGCACTTGAGCCCCCGCTAACAGAACCTAATCCACCAATGGAAAATCTTGATGATCTCCTTTGTATGGGCTATTTGCAGCAAACAGAAACCATGAAGCTTTTGAATGAAAATACCTGCATCCGAAGATCCATTCCCATTGCCAACAAAGTCTGGAGACATAAAGTTTGCAACGGTGTTCTGGCCTCTATTTTCCATTGTCAGCATCTTCAAGGATATTTTCCGAAGATAATCAGGCTGAAATCAAGAAATACAAAAGATATAAGAAATCATGGCAATCCATGATATTGTACAAGACAAAGTTCAATAACGCTCAAATTTCTATCAATTCTTCTGCTCAGATGACGATGAGGGCTGTCAACATTAAAACTGTGATGACTCTACCTGGCTTGTTGCTGTATTATAAATCCTCTCCTCAAATCTGACAGCAATTCTACGAAGTTCAGCTAATCCCTCTTCTCCAGCCCACGGAAGATGTCTTTTTAATGTGTCCGTTCTATAAGATGAATAACAATAGTTTAATTTCTACAAGTTATCCAAAAGATATAGCATTAGACAATCCTCAAAATAACAAGTGTGATCATAATGCACTATTAAAGCCCTGGAAATTTTCCAAAAGAAATGCACAGCATTAAGATTTTGATTAGCAATATGAATGATGATAGTGTCAAATGCTATCTTTCCCTTCCAGAAATATAACCTTTCATGTGCATTTTCATACCAAAAACGACAACAGCACTAGCATGGACTCATCAAGCTCAGTTCTGAGTTACACATGGACTACGATAAAATGAATTTCCTCATTGGAAGAGATTCTCTTTTGCATCTTAATGCTATGTTTAGTAGCATTGAAATGAGGGGGTGGGAAGCGGAAGTGGAAGTGGAACCCAAATTTTGAGTCTCACTTCCATGGAACTCTCAGTTCCATAAAAAACATCAGGACCCCCCCGGGGGGGTGCGGAGAACCCAGTTTCCACTTCTCATGGAACTGGGTCTCTAATCATTTTGCCCCATCCCCATCCCTCCTCCTATTCAACACCCACCATGGCAGCAACAGTGACCATGGCTAGCATGACGGCATACGGCGTGAATCCGATGAGCGTCATGACAGACAGAAGCGACTCTAGTGAGCACGGCAGTGGACTCTAGCTACTGACAAACTCCAAAGTCATATTCGTCAGTTAAACATAAACCCAGTCACCTCGCCACTGAATGCATAATGTTATCCTTATAAAACTCATTGATAGACCTTGACTAGATTATTGAAGAATAGCCAAACGGCAAGATTGTTAAGTGAAGAACATTTAATTCTTAAAAGATAATGATTTGGTCTAATTATAGTTCCTTAACTATAAAAAAGCATTTTGAGCATTAATCTTAACTTGGTTATCATTTTAATTCCACATGAGAAACAGGGGAACTATAACGAAGTATGGTATACGATTTCCCCTCGTCATGAAATATTATAAAAAAGTAAAACAACAAAAACAAAAAATTACATTTTGTTGACAATTCTTTGGCGACTGTCAGGATACAGTTGAGCCCTCCATGCAGCTGTAAAGGATCACCCAACTTGAGCATGTGTTCAGTTATTCATACTCACAGATATTAGACAGGGGTATCAATAAACGAGTGTTTAAATAAAATCTGCCTACGGATGGAATAACATAAGCAGCATATTACATGCACACAAGACAATAAAAATAACATTAACAGATATTATAAATCTGCTATGGATCCAATTAAACTATATATCAAATCAAAACAGTAATAAATTATTATTACAGAAAAGCACTTTTATCAAAGACAAACAGTGTCTGTTTTTCCATTTCAAATGGAATTTGCCAAAAGCTCCAACTTATTGCTTCACACAAATGTTGGCTCCTAATTCCCCCAAAAGCATATTTGAGATCTGAAAAGTGCTATCCAAACGGACTCAAACTTGCAATGCGGATGTGCAAAATTTGAATACCAAATCATTAAGTATATATGATACCAAATAAAAAATAGCTGCAAATTGCAGAGTTTGTCAGTGGAAAAAAAAAAAAAAAAGCAGAATAACTACACTAAGCATATTCTCTGAGCAAACCCCAAACATTCATCCAATATATTGGGTTGAGAGGTTTTAACGGTTAAAAACTAGCAAAAGCTAAATTGGGTTAGTAATTGAATCTGATGGCATAATATTGACCATGATGTTCTGAGACTTACTACGATCAATTAACCGCATCATGGAAGATATTTTCTGTAAATAATCCTCCTGAAATTAGGAAATATAAGAAAATTAGCACCACAGTACGGTAAGAAATGTAGGCCCACTACTAAAGATTGAACCTGCTAAAACTATGTTTCAAATCAGGAGTTATGGAGCGGGGCCAAAAGTTACATGCAATGACATGAACTTTCCAAAGATGGCACATGAAGAAATGGCCCCCCAAAACCATCCATGATTCATCCACCTGCATAGATTACCATAAGTTATTAAAGTAACAGAGATTAGACTATATCGGAGTACCTGGCTTGCTGCACCAGCATAAATCTTCTGCTCAACACTCTGAGAAAATTTCTGAACATCAAGTGATTCATCATCATCACCATCAGACTGACACATCTTTAATTTGCTCGTTCTACAAAACGAAGAATTGTTTTACAAGGACATGGCATCAAGATGTTGAGGACAATACAACGGTCAACTGAGAATGCATGATCATTATGTAAAAGTCCAGCCCTTTCATTTCTTTTTTCTTTTCTTTCTTTCTTTCTTTGTTTTTTTGAAAAGATTTTCCAAGAAAGCAGATTATCTATAACTCTTGAATGGCGCTCACATATAACATTCGAAATTTGAAATGTAAATGTGCAGCATTGTCTATAAATGGAGAACACTAGCATGTCAAGAGAAATGAATACACAAGTAATAGGATTCCTGAACCAGATAATAGAAGAATCTGTTCAGTGATACATGTTCACACAGTCAATTATATACAAATGCCTGCTATAGCTCCTCTACCATGGATATAATGATATGTGTTTAATGATGAAATAAATTTAATCCTCCATGACAAACAAAGTAATTTTATGACAGCGTGGATAATTTACAGAACAGATGGCTCAAAGAAGATATTATCCAGATCATCTTGTTAATAGTTTTTTTTTTTTTTTTAGCAAACAGGTCATCTTGTTAATTAAAAAGAGAATTTAAACCTACATTTCATTGACTTTTATTTGGCGAATATGAGGCAGTAATTGAGCCCTCCAATCATGTGTATTCATAGTGGGGTCTGCTGCACCTTGCAGAGCTCTCCAATGAATGTACCTATTCCAATTAAATCAGCATAGGTACCAAAATTTAAACAATTAAACGAAATCAAACATATAAATTGAGCAGGTACTTGTAAATAAGTCAACAGAAACTAGTGGTTTATTATGAAAATTATGGAGATCATAAATACTCTCTTTCCGAAAACCAAGACCCAAAATGAAAAATTGGCACCTGATTTTAGCTCGTAAATTCAGCAAATTCCTCGAGTCAAGTGATGAATTACTACGATGTGAAACATGAAACTTTCCGGCCCCATCTTTCGAGGCTCTGACCAGTACAATTCCCAATGCAACATAAACCAAAATCGTTTTGAATATGTTATACTTTCGTTAAAACAAAGTAACATTTGACCATCCATTATCCAAAGAACTAAGATTAGTTTCCCAGTACTTCCAAATTCTTTCAAAGATCGAAAATATTTCCCATATGCCTGCCATCACTTGAAGAGGATCACCTCGAGTGCTAATAGGTACTAGAAATGTATGTTATAACGAATCGGAGAAATATGATGTCTACCTAAGCAAAAAATACTAAATTAAAGGGATAAAGAAACAGAAGAAAGGCAGGATTACTGATTTACTGAAAGTCTACGATCGTTGTCTCCTACAACGACGACGCCGATGCTGCGAGTCGAGGAGCGAGTTACACCCACTGATGAGAAGGCGGAGCGAAAGGAAAAGGTGGTTTTTTTTCTTTTGATAAGGAAAGGTGGCTTCTTCGCACCAGAGAAACCGTTCACATACTCGCATCTGAAGTTTTTGTTCCCCGGCCAAAAGAAAAAAGCATTAGATGCTCGCGAAATAATTTAAATTAATAAATAATTAATCTCTAATTCTTAATATAACAACTAATTAACTAAGTTGAGTATATATAATAAATAAGTACTATCTTTTCTAAAATACTCTTATTAATCAATTGTATTAGTTTTAACATTTGATGAAACATTTAATATATGCAATTATTACAAGAATTACGTTTAAAAAAATAAATAAATAAATAGGATAGACAAAATAAATTAAGATTTTATATTTAAGTGTTATTAGGTAACTAGTTTGAGAAAATTAAAAAAATAAGTTAATTTTGTTAATTCTAATAAATATATATTGACTTTTCTAAACTACCATATTTAAAATGTATTTAAACTATCCCCTTACAATCAATAGTGATATTATAAAGAAAACATTAGAAAATTCGAGAGAGAAAATAGATTGAAATATTATATTTATGACCAAATTTAATCTCCCATTAAATATCTAGTTCCCATACTAGGAGCCGGTAATAGGATTTATTATTTTTTAAATTATACTTCCTCTTACTTCACATGTGAGCTAGTTGAAAGGTTATTCTAGTTTTAAATATAAACTCTCCATCCATTTTGCTTTAGAAATTCACAATTTTTTTCTCTCCAAACCATCCTATAATTACATATATTAAAAAGAGATTTTCATTAATGAAAAGGACTTTCCGTGCAAATGATTAAAAGAAATAGTTTAAACAAACTAACATACTACTACATTTGTTATAAACAATCAACTAATTTTATTTTATTTTTATAAATTAGTTATCTAACTCGCATGATTAGTTAAACGGTTATACAGTATTATAATGTACAGCATTAGGCAGAAGTTTCCCGATATTGACAACTAACGCAGCAACAAGCACAAGAGACCTGAGAACAGCTCAAAAAATGCTTCATGATTCTCTTGTGATAATGGACTGAACTTGGAAGCTGGCTAGTGAGTTACCCAGCCTTGAAATGGAAGTGGTGTACCACTGTAATTGTGGATTATGGAAGTAGAAAGAAAAGAAATGATGGCTTTGTACATACCATTAGGTCCCCATCATTTGCAATGGTCAAAAGAAATGAGTACTACTTTTGGTCCTTAATATAAGAGCGAGTTTGATTTTTAATTTAGTCCTAAATATAAGATCCCAATTTATTTTATCTTTCATATTTATTCATTTTTTTAAAGTAATTTTTGTAGTAGTTACATATATTAAAATTTTTATCAAATGGTAGTTTTAACTAATACATATTATTAGTAAGAATATTTTAGAAAAAATAATATATATTTATTATAAATAACTAAATTAACTAATTTTGTTTACTGGAAGTAGTATTATATATGAAAACACAGCAATCTACCGATAGGTGACAAAGTCATCTAGCCATTGGGGTTGCTTCCTCTTTCTCAGAGATTGTCTTCCTGCAGTATTTTTCTCTCCCTCTGATGGTGCCACGTGCCCTTCTAGCACTTGAGCCCCCATAGCAGACCCATTCATCATTCAAGAAAACTGATTTCCTTAATACCACAGACTACTTCATGAGTATCCTCGGACTTCATTCAAAATATGTATCCTTTCCAAACGAGCTTAAAGCGTCCACCCAACAAGAGAAGAAAAAAAATACTACTTCTGGTCCTAATTATAAGAACCGGTTGACTAATTTGAGGATATTAATAAAGTAAGTTGAGTTAGTTATTTGTCCTAAATAGGTATTGTCTTTCCTAAAATATCCTTACCAATCAAGTGTATTGATCAGAAATCTTATTTTTAGAAGGACTATTTTAGAAAATATAAATATGAAAGACAAAGTGGATTGGAGTGTTATATTTAGGACCAAGATAAAAGCCAAACAAGATCTTATATTAAGGACCGGAGGTAGTAATAATAACCAATTTCACCGGCTTAGTGATTATGAAGTTTTATTCATAAGGATTTGGATCCTCTCAATTGAGGGGTATTAGATTATAGTCTAACGGTGTTGAGAGAGGAGTTATAATTTTATTTTATTTTTTAAAAAATATTTAATTATAACGTCACTCATCACCGTGAGATCACTATCTAATAGTTAATAACCCTCAATTGAGGCTTAATTGAGTGAAATCAATTGACGGTGTCCAAATCCTTCCTCACAAACCAAAGCATCAAAGTGCTCTGCGCCCAAAACAGCCAAAAAAAAAAAAGGTGAAAGTATCCTAATCATTCTGCTATAAGACCGGCATCATTGTATGGTAATGAATGTTAAGTTTTAAAGGGACAACACAAGCATAAAGCGATTGAGATAAGGATATTGAGATGAATATATGGTTATACAAAAAAAAAAAAACAGATTCATAATAAAAATACATGAGGAATAGTTGGAGTAGCATTCATTAAAATAAAAAATGGTAGAAAATTGTTTGGCATAATTGGGACACATACAAAGAAGACCATTGGATATACTGGTGAAGAAAGTAGATCAAACAGTATGAGTTCTTTCAAAAGAGGTAGAGGAATGAAATTATTAAGCAGGATCTTTTGGTTAAAAATTTATCTAAAGATTTAGTCGTTGAAAGAGCACAATAACATTAAGCAACTCATGTAGCCGATTCCAGTTAGTGGGGTAAGACTTATTGTTGTTATAAATAGTTTATAACATTGCATAGGTTATTTGCAGCAAACAGATCAATTATGAAGCTTTTGAATGCCAATACCTGTATCTGAAGGCCCATCCCTATTGTCACCGAAGTTTGATGGCATAAATTTTGCTATGACCTTCGGGCCTCCATTTTCAATCTTCAGCAACTTTAAGGATATTTTCTGAACATAATCAAGCTGAAATTAGGAAATGCAAGAGACATCAGAAATCATGGCAATCCATGATATTGTACAAGACACAGTTCAACTACTGCTCAACTTTCTATCACAATTCATCTGCACAGATGATAATGATCCATCAAGACGGCTGTCAGAATTAAAACCGTGATATGACTCTGTAAGTTCAGAGTTATTAAACATGGTTACCATAAAACGAATTCCCTAATTGGAAGAGCTCATCTCTTTTGCGTCTTAAATGCTCTACTCTCCACAATAAAAATGCATGCAAGAAGAAAATCCTCCAACTACAAACCAAAAGCAAAATACGAGCTGAAAAACAGAAAACAGCAAGTATATTAAGAAATCTCCCAAATATCCAATCAGGGGGAAGAACTTAAACAAAATTAAATTTAAAAAATGTTCAAGACAACATAAAGCTTGCCAAAAACACGATTCTATAGTCATAAGAAAAAATATGCCTTACAGTTCTTCGGCTTTAAAACATAATTTTGAGCACTAATCTTAAGTTGGTTATCAATTTAATTCCACATGGCAAACCAGAGAACTTTAACGAAGTATGTTACATGACTTTTCCCGATCATGCAATATATGACCAAAGTAAAACAACATAAAAATTTATACATTTTCTTGACGGTTCTTAGGCGATCAATACAATGCAGTAGAGCCCTCCAATACTCTGTAAAGGATCATCCAACTTCAGTATGTCTCCAATTATTTATACTCCAAATTTAGATTGACGTATCAATAACAGATTACTTAAATCATATCTGACTGTAGATGGAAAAAAAATTAGTAGCATAGTTACAAGCGTATAAGACAATCAAAATAACATGAATAGATATGTCAAATCAAAACTGCAATAAATTACCATAACAGAAAAGCACTTCTATCAAAGGTGCAAAATTTGGATGGTATTCAAATTAAATGCATAAGGTATTTGTTTGAGATCAAAATTAATGGAAAATATGATAAAACTTACCAAACATTCTACATATGATATCAAATTAAAAAAAATTGCAAATTGAATATTTTGTTGGTGGAAAACTATGGCTGAATTGCTAAGAATAATGTCACAGTAGACCCCAAGCATTCAGACAATACAATAGGTTCAGAGATTTTAGGATTAAAAACTACCAAAAGCTAAAATTGGTTAATAACTGAATCTGATGTCATAATTGTGACCATGATGTTCTGAGACTTACTATTTAATAACAGCATCGTTGAAGAAGTTTTCTGTAAATAATCCTCCTGAAAATAGGAAATGCCGAAATGTAAGAAAATTAGCATCATAAAAATCATGACAGGGTGAAAAACACTTTTTCAAATTTTGGAGATATGGGGCGGGGTGCAAAAGTTACATGTAATGATTCAACAATATGCATAGATGACCATAAATTATTATATAAACTGACATTACATATTATTGGTGTACCTCTTTAGCAGCATCACAGCATAAGTCTTCTGCTCAAAACTTTGTGCAACTTTTTGAACTTCAAGTAATTCATCATCATCACCATGAGACTGATACAATTTTTAAACTAAACATTCTACAAAAGTGAAAATTTGTTTTGCAATGATATGGCATCAAGAAGTTGAGGACAATATACAATGGTGAACTGAAGAAACATGATCATTATGTAAAAGTCCAGCCCCTTCATTTTTCTTTTTCTCTTTCTTTTTGGTTTGGTTTTTTGTTTTATTGAAACGAAATGCTGACAAAACAAATTATCATGTGAAGTAGACTGTGAAAGACATGTCTCATCATCCTAGCACCAGACAATTATAAACTTCTTCCTTCCCCAAATCAAATAAAAATAAATTATAATGTAGAATTTTACCAAAGTCTTAGTTCCCGTCCAAGATAGGCCTATAACACAAATTTTATCCCAAATATTTTAAGCTACTCCTCTGGTCCTTAATATAGGACATAATTGTTAAGTTAGTTTTGGTCCTAAATATAAGACTCGTTTTTCATATTTATCAATTTTCTCTAAATTACACCTATAAAGGAAGAGGGAATATTAAGAAAGATGATTATCGCATTTTAGGAAAAACATGTCACATTTATTATAATTAACTAACTTACCTAACTTCCTTAATATAATCAAATTAGTTAAATGGATATTATATTAAGGACCGGAAAAGTATAATGAAATGTATCAACAAATATTAGAGGCTTTCAAGGTCATAACAAATTTGATCCTCCATGACAAACAAGTGATCCCTCCAATCATTTCTATCCATGGTAGGTCTACACCTTGCGGAGGTCCTCAATGATCGTAACTATACAATTTAAATCAGCAAAGGTATCAAAAATTGACCAATTAAATGAAATCAAACTTTAAAAGCAAATATAGGTATTGAGCAGGTGCTTGTAAACGAGTCAATAGAAACTACGGGTTTTTTTATGAAATACTCTCTTATGGAAACCAAAACCCAAACTAAAAAAAGGGCACCGGGTTTCAGCTCATGTTCATAATTCAGAAAATTCCTCAAGTCAAGTGATGAATTACTATGATATGAAACATGAAATTTCCCGTCCCCATCTTTGAGGGTTCTGACTAGCACTATTCCTAATGAATCATACACCAAAATCGTTTGGAATTCACTTCAGTTAAAATAAACTGGTACTTGATCATCCACCGTTTAGAGCACTGAGATTAGTTTCTCAGTTCCTTCAAATTCTTTCAAGGACAAAAATATTTCCTACATACCAGCCATCGCGAAAAGCAGAGAGTTTCATCTAAATGAGAATAAGTATTAGAAAAATATAATATAACGGATCAGAGAGAAATGAGATCTCACAAAGCGAACAAAACTAAATTATCACCACAACGAAAGAAAGCAAGAAAGAGAGAGGGAATAACAGTAGGATTACTGGAAGTCTACGACCACGACGCTGCAAGTCGAGGAGTGAGTTCACCGATAGGCGAGAAGATCAAGCGAAAGGAAAATGGAGAATAGGTGGTTCTGTACTAGTTGCCGTGGTGTTCAAGAAAGAAGGTCAGAAAAAGAAAAGATTCAAGAAAGAAGAGATTAGCGTTGACTTTCTTTTTCTTTTTTTTTCATTTTTCACCAAATGTATCTATATATGTATGCTGAAAACAAAACTAACTGTATGGGAAAATGAAAAAAGAAAAAGAAAAAATCAGGTATTTTTATAAAAATATGTTGTTGTTTGAAAATCAATTGTTGTCAAAAGATTTTACAATTTTTACGGATTTATTTGTCAGTTTTTCCTAATCATATTAGCTCATTATATATATATATATATATATATATTTCTTTTATCTTACATGCAAGACTCATTTTGTAGTATAATTAAAATGGATATTTACACTATAAAATGAGTCTTACATTTTGTTTGGTACGAGGTTTTCAGAAAGGAAGGGAGAAAAATTGCTCCCCTCCTTTTGTTTAGCTGGTGCAATTTTTTAGAAATAGAGGGGAGTTGCTCCCCTCTTTTTGTTTGTTTAAGGTATTTTTTAAAGAGGGAGGGGCTTTTCTCTCCTCCTCTTCCTTTCTAACCTCTCCTCCAAAAGTGGAGTTTTTTTGGAGGGGAGATGAGAAATAAAATTTTAAATTTCAAAATTAGCTTAACTAAAATACTTTAATTCCTCATATACCCTTTCGGTTTGTTAACCCCTAATCAGTGGTAAACATTTCTATATTAGAGAATTCTTTTGAATATCTAGCAAGAGATTATCGAGATAGTTGTCTCCAAAATTAGTAAGTATTGTTGAACTTTTTTTTTTCCTTTTCTTCTAATTCCAAGAGGCCGTCGATATTTTCTTTCATCTTTAAGATCTTTTCTCTGATTGAAATCTATCACTCATAACTTTTTATTTTGATATCTTATAAGTGTGTGACTGTGTCTTGTAAGTCAAAATTAGTGACTTGCATTATATATATAGTTATATCTTGATAAAATAAAAAAGTGAGAAAATTCATTTAAATTTTACAAGGTTAAAATAGTCAATGTTTTATTAGAATAAAATAAGGTATCATTAAAATTGCTCCGTCCCCTCTCTTCCAATCAATCCAAACTGGGAATCATTAAAATCTCTTCCCCTTCCCTCCCTTTTGTAGCTACCCTCCCCTTTCCTCTCCCTCCCTTCCCTTAATTAAAATCCCTCCCCTTCCCTTCCCTCTGTCGAGCCAAATACAACGTTAAGCTCTGTTTGATTAGAGGGTTGTTGAGGGGACGGGAGGGGATAAGATTAGTGTGTTTAGTTAGGAAAAATAGAGAGGAGGGGAGGGAAGAAATTTGTCTTTTAGTGCTCCCCTCCAAATTTGGAGAACGAAGAGAAGTATTATGTCTAATATTGACTAAATTACCCATACTAGCTTTTCTATATTCCAAGTTTGCTCCTCTTATTAGAAACTCTTTTCTTACTTCTCTCTTTTCAGCCACTAATGATATTTGATAATATAATATTTCTATCATGGCAGTAATTTTTTTCGTAATATAATATGATAAGTATATATTAATGAAGGGCGGTGTAGTGTATACATTAATATATACATATCATAATGTGTGTGTATTATAATTATATATCATTTGTGTATTATAATCTCATATGGATTGCCAACATGCATATATATTAATCTCAGATAGATTGCACACATACATATATATTAATATATACATATCATAACGTGTGTGTATTATAATTATATAATATATACATATCATATATATCAATACACGTGTGTGTATTATAATTATAAAATTAATGAGATAAAATGTTAAATTTTTTTATCATATTTCCTAATTTTTTTAGTTTTACCATAATTTTTTTATCACATGTAATTGAGATAATTGGTTTTTTAAAATTAATAAATTAAAAAGTAATAATTTTAATATGAATATTGTAATAAAAGAATAAAGTAGTCTAAATATAGAGATAAAAGCATATTTGTCAATTTATAATTATCTTCCCTTCCCTCCTCTTATGAACCAAACAAGAAATCTCCTCTCATGACCTCCCCTCCCTTCCCCTACCCTCCCCTCCAACCAAACAAAACTCATGACCTCCCCTCCCTTCCCCTACCCTCCCCTCTTAGGATAGGAAAAGTATAGAAAGAAAATAACACTTAAAATTAACGCACTTTGAAGGGGAGTTATAACGTCATCTAGAATGCTTTTTAATCTACTCTTCCTATCCTTAATATATGACCTAATTAGAGAGTTAGTGTTGGTCCTATATGTAAGATTTATTTCATATGTTTATCAATTTTTTTCAAAATTAACTCTATTGATATTTCCCAACAATAATCAAGTATGAGAGAGATAGATAGAATTAAGGGAAAGGCTTGTGGTTTTTATTTTTTATTTTTTTAAAGTATATCATATTAATTAATTTAACTAACATCCTCAGTTTACTCAAATTAATTAATTAGGTCTCATATTGAGAAGAGGAAGATTACTACATAAAGCCTTTCAGATGATTTTACAAGCCGCGTTTGCAACATGTAACTCATTTGTGTAGACAAGATTTTGCCAATTGAATTATATTCTCTTTTGCAACGTCCCAGAATTTTCAATAAAACTAAGCATTAAAACCATTAGGATATGGTACTCCATCTGAATTTTGTGCGGCTCGTCCAACAACCTTCCCACCCCCGTGAACATTTTGTATTATTGAATGGGTTTGGTCTAATTTTGCTCAGGTTTTTTTTCATAGGAGTCGTGTTATTCAATAATTTTGCTGGATCCATATTGCCCCAAAATTTGTTAAAAACAAAAAATAAGGAAGCCAAAATACTTAAGTTGACGGTTAACATTTTTAATGGTTAAGGGCAGTGTTGCCCTTTTTTTTTTTTTGGCTTTTTAATACTCCTCCGGTCCTAAACATACAACCCTTATACTAATGTATATAAGGGTTTTATATTTAGAATCGAAGGATTACTTTCATCTTATGAGATAATATTAATCCAACAAAAATTTCTGGATACCCACAACTGCAACCAGAAAACTTCCTGAACAAAATTGGACTTTAAACCATATAGAATTCACATAGGACCAAGACACAGCATTATCATCTGAATATATCAATATATTGCTTTAAAATGATCAACAGGCAACTCCTTTAAACTTTCTAGGCCTAAACATCATTTTCCCAGGCCATCCTTCGGCTTTTATATGCAACTACTACCCTTGGGTTTTTAACCAGATTATGGAAGCCAAGAATTGTTTGCCTCCCTGTCCCCATTTTTAATCCAAGAAATTATAGCCTTATAAGCCCAAAAACCTTATTCATAATCATACAAGGGTTTCTGATATTTCCCCCGCCCCCCTTCTGCATCACAATTCAAATGGCCCATTTCATGTTGTAAGTTAAACAAATTGGTCTCCTATCGATCAATACTGTTTCTGATCTCACCAGTTTATTGTTTGTTCTACTCTAAGTGCTCATATCCCGCCATATCTAATCTGCATACAATCCTCAAATCAAACAGACATGATCAGAATAAATATTACCCTATACTTGTTTTATGATATCATTACAATGTGGGGAAAAAGTAGCCAGAACCTGAAAGGTTTGGAAAAGCTGGCCTTATTGCATCACAAATCCTAACTATTACAAAGATAGTTAGGAGCAGTTTTCAAGGCAGCCAAAACACAGCCCCCAAACACCAATGTACAAACCTCTGTTTTTCCCCTGAGGATCAAAGCAGTCCAGAGGCCTCATATAATCAATATTGCAAAAAGATACACTAGGGACACAGAAAACACTACAATATAAATAATGGCATGGACATAAAAAACATTCGGTCCCCATCATTTGCAATTGCCTGAGGAAATTAGCATGTGAGAATAGAGCTATCAATAGGTGACAAATTCAGCTAGCCGCTGTGGTTGCTTCCTTTTTCTCACAGATTGTCTTGGTGCAGCATTTCTCTCCCCATCTGGTTGTTCCACCTTCCCTTCTGGCAGAGCCTGCCTAATAGACCCTATTTGCCATTGGGGGAAAAAAAAACATGATTTCCTCTATACCACAAATAACTTCAACAGCATCCTCAGATTTCAATGGAAAACACGTGTCCTTTCCTTTTTAAGAAATCTTAAAGCACCAAAAAAAAAAAAAAGGGAACAACATCAACAGCTTAGCGCTTATTGATATAAGCAAAAGGAAAGAAGCAGAATATTCATTCAACATAAACCAAATGGGGGCAGTACATAGTATATATCCCAACCTCAAGACACGTCACCCACTTATTCTCTCTCTTCTAACTAACTACTCAGGAATTTACCTTTCTCTCACGGTTACAATTACTATAAAAACCTGTTACCAGAGTAATGCATATATCAATACTCCCCCCCTTCAAAAGAATCCTTGTCCACAAGGATTGTCCTGGCAGGAGGAGCCGTGGTAGAAAAATCTGGAAACTGCTGCTGAATAAGAGATAAATCCTCCCAAGTGGCATCCTTAGGTTGAGAGAATTTCCAGCGAATCAAGACTTGAGTAACAGGGACATTGTTTCGTTTAACAATCTTTCGGCCCAAAATCTCCAGCGGTTCCAGCATGAAGTGGCCTTGACTATCAATAGGTGGCAGAGAGGAGGCCAGAGGGGCCTCTGGACCTACATGTTTCTTGAGGAGTGAAACATGAAAAACAGGATGGATACGTGTGTTTGCTGGCAACTCAAGCTCATAAGCGACAGCCCCTATTTTCTTCAATATCTTATAAGGGCCAAAATAACGGGCAGCAAGCTTGTGGAGGGAAGCATTGTTCAGCAAATTCCTTCGAAAAGGATGCAATTTCAGATAGACCCTATCCCCCATATTGAAATAACGTTCAGATCTGTTTTTGTTAGCTTGTTGGATCATCCTATGCTGTGCTCGTAGTAAATGTTGCTTAAGGAGCTGTAAAACTAGCTCTCTGGACAGACAAGTGCGGTCAACTAGATCATTTGGAGAGTCCCCAGCAATATAAGGTAAATGGACCGGCGGTGCAACTCCATAAACAGCCTCAAAAGGGGACATGCCAATAGAAGAGTGGTAAGTAGTATTATACCAAAGTTCTGCTAAAGGCAGCCATTTAACCCATTGTTTAGGGAAGTCTCCAGTCATGCAACGAAGATAGCACTCCAAGCAACGATTCAGAACCTCTGTTTGCCCATCCGTTTGAGGATGATAGGCAGAAGAGTATTGGAGTTTAACCCCATATAACCGAAACAGTTCCTTCCAAAATTTGCCACAAAAAATAGGATCTCGATCCGACACTATTGACTTAGGGAACCCATGCAATTTGACCACATTATCTAGAAAAATTTGTGCCACATCAACAGCAGTGAAGGGGTGTTTGAGAGCCATGAAATGGGCCGCTTTTGAGAGTCTATCAACTACTACAAAAATAGTAGATTTAGAATAGGATTTGGGAAGGCCACTAATAAAATCCATGGAGAGGTCTGACCATACATGATCCGGAATTGGTAGAGGCTGAATTAACCCTGGAGAAGCAATTAATTCTGGCTTAAAGCGCTGGCATGTAGTGCATTCACGAACAAAGTTTCTAACATCCTTCTCTAACCCCTTCCAATAAAAGAAGGAAGAAATACGCACAAAGGTAGAGTGCTGTCCAGAGTGCCCACCAATGCTGTCTTCATGAAAAAATGTCAACAAGTCACGACGAAGGTTCCTATCAGCACCCACAACCAGTCTGCCCTTACGTTTTAACAAATGATGCTGCCAAGTATAGTTGCTGTGGGGGGTTGGATCCTGTTCCAGATCTGAAATTAATCTTTGAAGATGATCATCAGTTAACCAAGAGTCCCGAACCTTCTCATAAAGTGGAGAAACAGGTCTAGTTAAAGCCAAACAGGATCCATCAACCCGCCGAGACAAGGCATCTGCAGCTGCATTCTCACTACCTTTTCTATAAACAATCTCATAATTCAAGCCCCACAATTTATGGAGCCATTTAAACTGATCTTGATTTAATTCTCGCTGCTCCAACAAGTGTTTAAGTGGAAGATGATCTGTCTTAATAATGAATTTATGGCTGCACAAGTAAGAACGCCATTGCCGAACAGCAAAGATAATAGCCAATAATTCTCTCTCATATGCAGAAAGCGGTCTCTTCTTGGTGGTCAAAACTTTGCTAGCAAAGGCCACTGGATGGCCATTTTGAGAAAGAACAGCCCCCAATCCTGTACCAGAAGCATCTGTTTCCACAATGAAGGGTTCATGGAAGTTAGGGAGTGCCAATACTAGAGGAGACATCATGAATTTTTTCAGCAAGAGAAAAGCCTCATTGGTTTCCGCAGACCATTGGAAAGGTACATCTTTCTTCAACAAATCAGAAAGAGGTTTGCTAATGGCTCCATAATTGCGAATGAATCGCCTATAATAACCTGTAAGGCCTAAGAACCCACGCAGCTCCTTGAGATTAGTAGGGAAGGGCCATGATGAGACTGCTGCAAGTTTTTTTGGATCAGCTTGTACTCCTTTTGCAGAAATAATGTGACCCAAATAGTCGATTTGGGTGGCAGCAAAAATACACTTAGAGTGTTTGGCAAATAGCTTATGTTGCCTTAAGGTGGATAAGGCCAGCTCCAAGTGTTCCATATGGGAGTTCCAGTTCTTGCTGTAAACTAGTATATCATCAAAGAAAACTAGAACAAATTTCCTTAGAAATGCCTTAAAGACATAGTTCATAAGTCCTTGAAATGTAGCTGGTGCATTTGTAAGCCCAAAGGGCATAACAAGAAACTCATACAGGCCCTCATGGGTTCTGAAAGCTGTCTTAGGAATATCCTCCCCTTTCATTCTGATTTGATGATAACCAGACCGCAAATCGAGCTTAGAGAAATAAACAGCACCGGTTAACTCATCTAACAATTCCTCAATAATCGGTATAGGGAATTTGTTTTTCACTGTAGCCTCGTTGAGTCTTCTGTAGTCAACACAGAATCTCCATGTACCTTCCCTCTTCTGCACCAAAACCACTGGAGCTGCAAAAGAACTGGAACTCTCTCGAATAATACCATTCTGAAGCATTTCCTGAACTTGCTTCTCAATTTCAGTTTTCTGTGCAGGACCATACCGGTAAGGTCGGCAACTAATAGGCTTATCAGTATGAAGTGGAATGGCATGATCATAAGGCCTTGAAGGGGGAAGTTCCTTCGGTTCCTCAAAAATATCAGCATAGGTGTCCAATAATCTAAGTAATTCCTGTTGACACGTTTCTGGAAGTGGGGAAGTATTACCCAACCCAACGTGCAAGGAGGATGATGTGTTCAAAAGGAAAATGCATGCAGCAGTGAGAATATCATGGTTTGAAGAGAGCTCTGTTATGACAGGAGAGGGTGCATACCCTAAGCCACGCAACTCAATTTTCTTACCCCCATAAGTGAATTCAAATATCCGCAAATCAATATCCATAGTAAAACGACCTATCGTTCTCAGCCATTGGGTGCCCAGAATCATGTCATACCCACCAATTTTCATTACTAAAAAATCAGCAACAAAGGTGGAGTTACCCATATCCCAAGACAAATTCGGGCAGCATTTAGAAATAGTTACCTGCCGTGAGTCCGCTACAGTGAGTCGAATGGCGTTCCGTTCCACGGGTTTTAATTGGAGCCGCTTAACAACAGAAGTATGCAGCACATTGTGCGTGCTCCCGATATCGACTAGAATGATCACTTTCTGGTTTTTAATCTGGCCCATTAGTTTCAGAGTAGGAGCTCTGTCATCCCCTTCAATAGCATTGATCGACCCCTCTGCATCAATCTGGGCAACCCCTATGGCATCCTCAAAGTGCTCATCCTCTTCATCAACCACCAACGTGAACAAGTGCGACTCCTTACAGCGATGACCTGGAGCAAACTTCTCTGGATACCAATAACATAACCCCTTCCGGCGCCTATCATCCATTTCCCGTTTCGAAAGCTGGCGGGTGGGTTTGGAAGAAATGGATGATTTAGTATTCGGGAAAGTTGAAGCCGCTGTAGAGACGCTCGGTTGGATCGAAGACGGGTACATGGATTTGGGTTTGGAAAACCCTGTAGCATCCACGGATGGGCTTATTTTTGGGCCCAATGCAGAACCCGTTTGAACACCAGATGCAGAACTTCCTGTTGGGGGGCCCGAACGGCGATAAGACACCGACGCATTCTCGTGTAGAGCATGAATGGTTGATTCCTGCAAACGGGCCGTCGACATTGCACTTGTCAGGGTAGACGGAGCGAAGTTGAGGACGAACTTCTGTATATCAAGCCGAAGACCGCCAATAAAGAGATTGATAGCTACGGGTTCGGGAATGTCAACTTCCGATAGGAGCTCGTCGAACTGCTGCTCATATTCGGAAACGGAAGTAGAAAGTTGTTGAAGCTTCTTTAGTGTAATGAGAGGGTGTTCATCTCGCACGTCGGCGAATTTAACCTCCATGTGCCTGAAGTACTCGGCCCAGGAAATATTAGCAAAGGAGCGGTGGCGCATGAAGGTTTGATGCCACCGCAATGCATGACCTTCAAGGTGAATGCTCAGGAGACGAATGCGCTGGTCAGCTGGTGTGCCATCTACCTCAAAAAATTGGCGAGCTCGATAGGCCCACCCACGGAAATCAGAGCCGTCGAACTTCGGAAACTCAACGCGACTCTGTTTTGTGGCAATCGAGTAGCTGGAAGAAGACCCAGAGTTGTGCAGCTCATGGAATGAACCAAAGGCAGGAAGACGGGGAGAAACATGGGTTTGGGAAACCTCATCGACAGACGCCGGACGCTTCGCAAACGGAGAATGAAGGTTGGATATCTTGGTGGATATATCCTGTAACGTTACTTTGAGGTCGGCGATATCCGATGATTGCTGTTCCATACGAGTGGTGACAGAATCAAGGACGGTTTGCTGCTGGTCTAACCGACGCTCAATGTCACCCAAACGATCCGTCGAGGACCGAGTCTCCGGCAGTGCCATATGGCCGGAGAGAAAGGCTCTGATACCTTTTATGATATAAGCAAAAGGAAAGAAGCAGAATATTCATTCAACAGAAACCAAATCGGGGCAGTACATAGTATATATCCCAACCTCAAGACACGTCACCCACTTATTCTCTCTCTTCTAACTAACTACTCAGGAATTTACCTTTCTCTCACGGTTACAATTACTATAAAAACCTGTTACCAGAGTAATGCATATATCACTTATGAAGGTTTATTCATAGACCAATGCACTATCCATTTATCACCTTGAGTAGGCTATTCGTAACAAACAGAGACCACGAGGCGCTTGAATGCCAATACCTGTGTCCGAAGGTCCATTCCGATTGTCACCAAAGTTTGATGGCAACGAGTTTGCTATGCGGTTCTGGCTCTTAGTTTCCATTGTCAGCATCTTCATGGATATTTTCCGAAAATAATCAGTCTGAAATTAGGAGGAAATGTAAAAGATATAAGCTGTCCTGGGCACTCCATTATCTTGAACAAAACAAAGTTCAATTACTGCTCAACTTTCTATCATAATTGTTCTGCTCAGGATAATGCAATGATCCATCAAGAGGGCTGTCAGAATTAAAACTGTGATGACTCTACCTCGCTTGTTGCTGAATTATAAACCTTCTCCTCAAATCTTACGGCAATTTTATGAAGTTCAGCTAATCCCTCTTGGCTAGAGACAGGAAGATGTCTTCTTAATACTTCCGTTCTATAAGATGAATAACAACAGTTTAATTACTGCAAAAAGCATATATCATTAAACAGTCCTAAAAATAGCAAGCATGACCATAATACTTTTCAAGTCCTTCATAGTGTCCGAGAGATACGCACAGAATTTGGATTTTAAGTTAGAATATGAATGATGAATCATGATATTATCAGATGCAATTATTCCTGGTTTCTAGGTGCATTTTCATACACCCAAAAAAAATAAAAACAACAACAACAACAACAAAAGCAGCAGCAATAGAATGGGCTCATTAAATTTAGTTCTATGCACGGATACCATAAAAATGAATTTCCTGATCCAAATGGGTTATCTCTTTCGCATCCTAAATGCTCTCTCCACAAAACAAAAGTTTAACAATAAGAAATCCTCTAACTGCACCAAACAAAAAACGAAATATATTTGAAAAACACATACTTATATGTTAAGAAATCTGTGCAAGTATCCTTTTTTCTTCAGGGGTGCCAAAGACCATAAACAAATTAAAAATAAGTTCAAACTAACATAAAGTTCTTCATAAACACAATTCAATAATCATAAGAAAGATGTCTGTCTTAAAAATTCAGCATCAACACCAACCATTCGGAGGCTTGCCAATATAAATAGCGGAAAAGTGCATTTTTCTCCCTTCCCTTAAAATATCTCAAATGAATAAACCAGAACTTCACAAAATTATAGAAATATACCCAAAAATATATAGTAAAATTCAAAGCAACAGTGCAATGCAACATCAAGTGATTGACAGATAAGGCATACTTGTCCGTTAAACCCAATCAACTGACCAATAAATGTATAATGCTGTCCTATAAAACACATGCATAGACCTGGACTAAATTATTGAAGAATAACTACACAGAAAGATCGTTGAGTGAAGAACATTTTATAGTCAAAAGATAATGATTTGGTCCAATCATAGTATTTCAACTATAAAACAGAATTTTGAGCATTAATTTTAAGTTGGTTATCAATTTAGTTCCAAGAGAGAAAAAGAGAACTCTTAACAAAGCATGATACATGATTTCTTTCCGCATCGTGCAATACATCAACAAAGTAAAACAACATAGAAATTTATACATTTCATTGACACTTCTTCGGCGACTTTCAGGTAGCGCTTGAGTCCTCCAATAATCTGTAAAGAATTATCCACCTTGAGTATGTTTCCAATTACTCATATTCACAAATTTAGATAGAGGTGTCAATAACAGATTCACTATAGATCTAATTTAGCGATAATATATCAAATCAAAGATGTGATATAATTATTATAACAGAAAAGCACTTCCATCGAAGACAAAATTACAATGCAAATGCACAAATTTTGGGTGGTATTCCAATTATATGCACAAGGTATTTGTTTGAGATTATAATTAAAGGAAAAAATATCATAAACCTTATTGAACATTTTATATTTGATACCAAATGTTAAAAAAGGGCCGCAAGTTGAATGTTTTCTTGGTGCAAAACAATAACTGAATCGCTAATAATACCGTCAGTGTAAACCCCGTACATTCATCCAATACAATGGGTTCAGTGCTTTTAATGATTAGAAACTTCCAAAAGCTAGATTGGGCTACTCATTGATCCGATGGCATAACATTGAAGTAGATGGTCTGGGACTTACAGCCAATAAACAACATCATTGAAGATATTTCCTGTAAATAATCCTCCTGAAATTAGGAAATATAAGAAAATTAGCACCACAGCAATCTTGACAAGTTCAAAGAAGTGGGCCCACCACTAAGAATTGACCCTGTTAAAAAATGTTTCAAATTTGGAGGTTATGGAAACCTAAGGTGTAAGAATCCATTCATGATTTACCCATCTGCATAGATGACTATAAGTTATTAAAATAACAGAGATTAGACATTATTGATGTACCTGGCTTGCTGCACCAGCATAAGTCTTATGCTCAATACTTTGAGCAATTTTTTGAACTTCAACTAATTCATCGTCATCACCATGAGACTGATGTATCATTAATTTCCCCATTCTACAAAATGAAGAATTGTTTTACAATGACAATGCATCAAGTAGCTGAGGATAATATACAATGATCAACTGAAAAAATGATATCAGTATGTGAGGGTCCAGCCCCTCTGTTTATGTTTTGAAAAGAAGTGCAAAGAAAGCAAATTATCATTTGGAGTAGACTGTCGAAGACTAAAGTCATCATCCGGGCACCTGACAATTATAAACTTCCTTCTCCCAAATCCACCAAAAAGAAGAAAGGGGGGGGGGGGACCAGAACTGCTCAAAATTCTTACCTCATGCCAAAGAATAGACCTATAATAGAAGCAGTTCATTCCAAATATTATGAGCTACAGTTGGGGGGAAAAAACAAATATCAGCAGCTTCCAAAGTCATATCAATAATTTATATCGCCCAAAAAAGTTCCTGCACCCCCAGCTAAAGTTATAGGTAAGGTTAAGATAACACAGTCTGCTAAAACTCTTGAGGGGCACTCACAAACAACATTGAAAAGTTGAAATATAAATGTCCAGCATGGACTATAAACGGAAGACACAAGCTTGCCAAAAGAAATTGAGTATGTCAAGTAATATAGTTTCCTGAGCTGGCAAATAGAAGAAGAATCAGCAGTTCAATAAGTCAGCAAATCATATACAATGCCCACTATGGCTCCTTTACCAAGGATATCATAGATTTTTTCTAATGAAACAGATTTAATCTTCTATGACAAACAAGGGGAACGTTATGAGACAGTATTGATAGTTCATAGAACTGAAAGCACAAAGCAGATAAGCATAATATAGATAATCTAATCAATTACATAAAAACTTTAGACCTACATTTCATTGACTTTTATTTGGCGAGTATGAGGCAGGAATTCAGCCCTCCAGTCATTTGTATCCATAGCGGGGCTCTACGCCTTGGGGGGGTCTTCTTCTACAACGACCACGCTGCGAGTTGACGAGTGATCGACCGCTGATGGGAGAGGGAAACGCAAGGCAAAGGTGGCTCTGTATTAGTATTAGACTTCGACGCGACCAACACGAAAGAAATCTTTTCCAGCATATTCCGGGTTTCGCGTTGAAGTTAACGATGGTTTCGGACTGTCTGGTTTTGATCGGAGTAATTCTGTAACATGTACTTGAAGTTTGATTAGTAATTCATCGAAAAATATTGATTAATAAATTAATGTAAGGAATAAAAGTATTAAAATACCTTCAAAAATATTAAAAGATAAATTAGAGTAGATAAATTTTAAAATCTTAAATTAGACCCCTCGTATTATTTTAAAATTTTAAAATATTATAAAACGATAATACTGTTCGTATTCTTAATAATTACTTTCATACAGCAATTGATTATTTTAGTTTAATTATGGGAAAATGACAGATAAAGAAGCTCCAAAATGTGAAATGCCAATTTGGGAAGCTAAGGAAATGTAATTACCCATAGGGAAGTCCTTCCCAAATTGGGATTTTGGAAATTCAGTGAAATGACAAAAATACCCTTTGTTCTTTTTTTTTTTAAAAAAAAACCCAGCCCCTCACCGGTGGCCGGCGACCGGCGACCACCGCCGGCGACTGGCCTCCGGCGGCCGCCGACCGCCTCCGGCCACCGGCGCCGGCCACCGGTGTGGTGGCTGCCGGTGAAGGATTTTTGTGACAGGTTTTTTTTTTTGGGAATAAGATAATATTGGTTCAAAGTGGCGGGGGTGGGATTTGATCCCACAACCCCTTGGCCACTTGAACCAACAAAAGGATGGCCATTGGGCCATCAAAGATTTTTTAACCTTATAATGCAAACAAAAATATAAGTTAACTCTTTTACTGTAACTCCAGCTCGTGACAACAATTTATCTGAGGATGACAAGTCTTAATTGAGAAATAACAAGTCTAAATTTGATATTAACAAAGCAATTTTTCCTTATACATAACATAGCAGCATGTGCATTAATTAAAAATGATCATAATTTATTTAAAAATGACACGTCTTTACTATAAAATGACAAGTCTAAAATTGATATTAACAAGGCAACTTTTCCTTATACATAACAAGAAATAGCATCTACGTTAATTAAAAATGACCATGATTTATTTGAAAAAACACGTCTTTACTGGAAAATGACAAGTCTAAATTTGATATTAACAAAGCAACTTTTCCTTATACATAACAAGAAATACCGAATAAATTGTTGTTATTTTTCAACAAAGACGTGTCATTTTTAAATAAATTAGGAAAAGTTGCTTTGTTAATATCAAATTTAGACTTGTTATTTCTCAATTAAGACTTGTCATCCTCAAATAAATTGTTGTCACGAGCTGGAGTTACAGTAAAAGAGTTAACTTATATTTTTGTTTGCATTATAAGGTTAAGAAATCTTTGATGGCCCAATGGCCATCCTTTTGTTGGTCCAAGTGGCCAAGGGGTTGTGGGATCAAATCCCACCCCCGCCACTTTGAACCAATATTATCCTATTCCCAAAAAAAAAAAAACTGTCACAAAAATCCTTCACCGGCAGCCACCACACCGGTGGCCGGCGCCGGTGGCCGGAGGCAGTCGGCGGCCGCCGGAGGCCAGTCGCCGGCGGTGGTCGCCGGTCGCCGGCCACCGGTGAGGGGCTGGGTTTTTTTTTTTAAAAAAAAAAGAACAAAAGGTATTTTTGTCATTTCACTGAATTTCCAAAATCCCAATTTGGGAAGGACTTCCCTATGGGTAATTACATTTCCTTAGCTTCCCAAATTGGCATTTCACATTTTGGAGCTTCTTTATCTGTCATTTTCCCTTTAATTATTAACTACTTTTGTTTTTAAAATTTTGATGATTATTTTTATATAGCTATTAATTACACAAAAGCAATAAATAACTAAACAAAAAGTTGTCATTATAGATCTCTAACCATACTTTATACATTTTTTGAATTTTTATATAAAAGTAGTCAATAACGAAATTAGAAAATTTTAAAAATTAAAAAAGTCAATCACAAGACTAAAAGAGTCAGTAGTTAAACGAAAGTAATCATTAGAGTTTTAAAAACAAATATAATCAAAAAAGTTAGTCAATAAATAAGAGCAGTCACCAGAGTTCTATTGGCCGTTAGTATATCCACTAGTACCAGAGTACCCGTGCCTGAAAATGTTGATGTGGTAATATTTAAAGAGAAAATAGTAAAAAATATTTGTGTAACTTCACAATATTTGAAAATTTTATTAGAATTTTAAAATTCACCTGATTTGTCCTTTAACAATTTCTAGAATGTTTTATTATCTTTTTTTCTCAATTTAAATTAAACAAATTAACTATATTATTTACTGTTCAATGCTTATTCCGTACTTCTTGTCATGAAATAGCAATTATTATTGCTACTGCTTTTTTATTTTTTTTTACCAGCAATTATTATTGTTACTGCTACTATTACTATATATGAATACGTGCATATTTGTTTAAGAAATCAAATATTTATGTATTGCTAAATTAAACTTATTAATTTCTAAACCTGTCTAGCGATTAAATAACAAAATTTTAATTTTATTACAAAAGTTTTGTCGTGATTGTAAAATTGAACTTATTCATTTCTAAATATACATTATATTGTGATTGAATAAAATAAAGTTTATTAAAAATTATAAATTTAATGCAAAAGTTTTGTTGTGAATAGTTAATAGGTACTTATGAATTGGTAATTTAAGTTTGTTAAATTCTAAGTATGCATTATGATTGGATAACAATAAAGATTTATTGAAGAGTGCAACCTTATTATAAAAGTTTTGTTGTGAAAAAACTGATGGGAATTTGCGGATTGATAAGCTAAACTTGTTAATTTCTAAGTTACTACCTCCGGTTCTAATTATAAGAGCCAGTTAACTAATTTGAGGAGATTAAAGAAGTAAGTTGAGTTAATTATTTATCCTAAATAGGTGCTGTCTTTTCTAAAATATCATTACTAATAAAGTATATTGACTAGAACTATCATTGTTAGAATGGCTACTTTAGAAAAAAAAATAAATATGAGAGACAATGTAGATTGGGGTCTTATATTTAGAATCAAAATAAAAGTCAAATAGGGTCTTATATTAAGGACAGGAGGTAGTACAACAAATTCAATTCAGTAATTCGCATGTCGTGATTAACTATTCATAGAAAAAGTTTTATAGTCAAGTTGTCATCATTGTCAGTGCTCCAATAACAATTGATAGAACTATGGCCATTGTTGTTGAAACTCCAGCCATTGACAAAGGTCGCTTTGGGGAAAAAACAGAGAGAGATATGGCTTTTAAAAAAAATGAGGGGCAATATAGTAAAATGCCTCATATTTACAAATCCCAAATTTGGTTTATGACCCAATTAGGGATTTGTTGAATTTAACAACCTAACTTATGATCTTCTTATTTAAGATAGCTTTAAATGAGATTTTCCCTTAGAGTGTATTTGGTATGAGAAAAATTTAAAAAAAAAAAAGGAAGGGAGAGAAAATTTTAATGAGCTCAATTTAGAAAAAATAAAAAAATAAGTTAAAATTGTTTAATTAATTTTTATTATTCTTTTATATTACAACTTTTCTCAGTTATAATTTTATAATCTCATTTTTTTTAATTTTTCAAATCGAGCTCATTAAAATTTGTTCTCCCTTCCCCTTCCTTTTATTTCCCTCTTACCAAATATAGGGTTGATAATAGTTTTGATAATTGCAAGGAGTCAATCATTTATGAGATCTCATACTCAAATTCATCCAAATCCAGAACAACTATAATTAAAACTTGATTTGAATGTGGATTACACTACAACGACATAATTGCACTTAGGCTTAACAAACATTTGGTCTGCACAATTATCACCAATAGATGACAAATTCAGATAGCCACTGTGGTTGTTTCCTCTTCCTTCCTTCAAGCACCTGAGCCTCCATAACAGACCCTATTCACCATTCATGAGTAAGTGCATCATGTCCTTTCCAAACAATCTTAAAGCAAGCATCCCAAAAATAAAAACAACGACAAAAATAGAAATCAGCTAAGTGCTTATGGAGTTTAATTCAGAGATCAAAGTATGAAAGTATAACATATCAGTATATTAGCTTGCATAGGGTACTTGCAACAAATAGAATGCAAGAAGATTTTGAATATAATCACCTGTATCTGAATTCTCACCACAGTTTGATTGAATGGAGTTTGTTTTAGTGTTAGGGCCTCTCGTTCCTACTTTCAGTAGCTCTAAGGATATTTTCCGTAGATAATCATACTGAAATTAGGAAAAATAATGTAAAAGATGTAAGGGCCTTCTTTTTAATTTAATACAATTAAGCATGCACACACAAACATGTTGTTGTTGGGTTTGAATTCGGGATTTCATCCAAATATGATAGGTGGTGGTGTTGTTAGGACAACTAGCCATTGACCATACAAGGATATGTTTGGTTCAAAAAAAAGATGGAAATGGATGAAATGGAATACTAATGATCATAGATGTTTGGTACAACATTAAGAACGTTGGGATGAAATTTATTTTTTTAGATTTGATTAAATAAAAGTAAAAATGAATGGACAAGAATACCCTACGCAATGAAAAGAAAGAAGGAAAAGTTGAAATGGTCAATCAACCCATAAAGGTGGGAATCATCATTAATTGGTTTCTAAGTGGGTGCGTTGATTCCATGAAAGTAAGGAACCATGATTTCAGGATAAAATGCGGCCAAACATGCAAGATGTGAGAATACAATTAAGATTATTGAGAATCCTAATAAAAGGGTCACGAGATTTCACCGCACTCCATTAACGTTGAACAAAGCAAAATTCAATGAATGTTCCAACTTTTTGTTTAAAACTATGATGACTGTACCAGGATTGTTGCAGTAGTATAGTCTCCTCCTCAAATCTCACAGCATTTCTATAAGCTTCATCTAATTCATCTTCGGCAAAAGGAGGAACAAGTCTGCCAAATGTGCCCATTCTATGAGAAGTCATAACATACCCCAGTTTAGTTACTTAAAAGTACAAGATATTAAAAGGCATATCATTAAACATTCCAAAAAAAAATATTAAGCATGATCATAAGATAATACTACCTCCTTTTCCCATAATGGAAGATCTAGTTTTTAATTCATTTTAAAATACAAACTTAGATCTTATATTAAAGACGGGAAAGAATGCATTTCAGTCCGTTCAAATTTTTCGAAGTATGAAGTATCATGGAAAGTCATATAATAGGCCGACCGTGGTTCGACGACTCTCAGGCTGTAATCGAGCCCTCCAGCAATCTGTAAAGCATCATCCCACCTGAGGTATTAATAACAGAGTATTGAAAATGATGAAAAATACGATAAAACTTGCCAAACACACACACTCTCTCTCTCTATATATATATGAGTATATATATATATATAAAACACAGCTACAAACTGAATATTCTGTCAGAGAAAGACAATAGCGGAATCATAGGCTTCAAGAATTCAGAGGTTCCAAATGCTAGAAGGGTTAATAACCGAATCTGGAGACATGAAGTTGACCTCAGTGTTTTGGGACTTACTATCAGTTAAACGCAGGGTTGAAGATATTTTCTGTACATAATCTTCCTGTAATTAGGAAGTACTGTATATAGGAACATTAATATACCAGCAGTTAATGGCACTGTAATAGGAGTTTCTTTTTTTTTTTTGGGGGGGGGGGGGCTCAGATCATTAATACTAAAAAGATTAGACATTATTGGGATGCCTGGCTTGCTGCATCAGCATAAGCCTTATGCCCAATACTCTGAGCAATTCTTTGAACTTCTAGTAATTCATCGTCATCACCAAGAGAATAATCTGTCTTTAATTTACTCGTTCTACAGAAATGAACAATTGTTTTATAGTCATCAAGAAGTTGAATCGAATAGACTTGAACCGTTCCAAGTTCTAAGTTCATACCCAGATAGGCCTACAATACAAAAAGGCTTAATCCAAATGTTTTAAGGTGAAAGGAACAACAAATATCAACGGTTTAGAAATTTGGTATGATGGCATTTTTTTAAAGAAATTTTATCAAGCCACAGAATAAAGTGATGTTAAATTATTTGAAATAAAAAAAAACTCAGTAATTGATGGACAAAAAACACTACAAGTACATTTCATTACAATTCAACACGAAAAGAAATTACAAGAAACTTGTAGCCAAAAAAAAGCTATGAGAAACTCTTCCACTGAGTTTGTGGATAGTTGACATATTGATCACAGTAAGAAGTGCTCCATTCACTAGCTCACACAGATTTGAGAGACTTTATGAGACATGGGGGGTTGAAGAAGAAGAATCAGTCGGATATAGCCATTTGAAAGTAACGATTGCAAGTGTAGACAGAGCAAATGGACTGCAAGATCATCAAAAGCAAGAGACAAATTGCAGCCAAAAACGTCAAGAACTGCCACGACCCAATTATATAACTCTTCATTAATTTCCAGGCTTTCACCTTCAATCTTCCATTATAATACTTGTTCACATCTTCAACCGCCTTATCCAGCACTGGCACTTTCGTCAGCTTTATGGACCTGCTCATCCCATTCCACAAGTGAGCCACTTCTGAGTCACTCTTCAAGTGGTTCAGGATCACCCCTGTTTCTCTCAGCACTTTAGCATCCTCATCAGAATCCACAATCCCATTCATTAATTCTGTGTATCGGGTCAAAACCAAGGGCCCAGATGCTACTGATGATTCATATGCAACTAAATTTCTCAAGAACACTTCGGTGTTGACGTCTAGGGCAACTTTTGGAAGGTGAAAAGTGCGTGTTTTTGAGTCAAATTTGATGCTGTTTATAGATCCATTGGTGGGTACGAAACGAACCCCAGAATTCATGAGTTCTGTAACAGAAGGGATTGTGATTTCCTCTATCAGTGGTGGCTTCTCAATGAGACTCTTTGAGGTTGCACTTCCATTTTCTGGCTTTCCTCCTTGTGTGAAGTTGAAGAAATATTGAACAGGTATTTTTATGAGTTTAATTCCAGGTAAGTTCGAGATTATCTTCCACAGTAACTTGACAAAGACTTTCAGGGGTCTAGAAAGCAACTCCTCCTTGATTAATTTCACAGGCCCTCTGTTTAGCTTTGAAAGAATCTTCCACACCTCTTTGAGGAATTTTTTCAAATAGCTTGAGTTCATGCTTGATTCCTCGTTATTTTCACCTCCTTTGGGATCAATATTGCCATCAATATGGATAACATGATCAGGCTGTTGATCTTTAATTTTGGGAACAATCATGTCGTAGAAGAAATCCAGCAAATGAGCGCACTCTGAGAGTTGAACATCTGGATAATCCTCCATCAGTTTGAAAGGACAAAGTTCATTAACCAATCCAGTTAAGATGAGAAACAGGACATTATCTGCATCATCGGGCGACGAGAATTTGAATTCCAGCATCTTCCTTAAAACACACAAAGGGATTTGATTCTCCATCATTACTATGTCCCTTAGAATTGCATTGTGGGCTGATTTCTTTCCCGCATAATCCACTAAGTGAGACATTCTGGAGGAAATTCCAGGAATTTTGTTTCCTTCTTGGATTGCATAAACTTGAAAGAACTCAAGCAAGAATGAGGCGTCAATGATCATCATCCACACCAACGTTTCGCCGTTGAAATCCAAGTACTTGTGGTAGCTTGCTCGAATCCTGTTGATGCATGGCAATATAGAAAATGATTAAACGAAAGAAAACAGAGTTCTCGAGTTAACGTTCAATTCAGGATTGCGAATTTCCAATAATATGGACGATGATTATAAACTTCAAGCAACTTCTAATTATGAAGATTTCATTATTTATCCCCGAAAGATGCATATTTTGATACTAAGTCAGTATTCATTTTTCTGTGCAACCGAGTCCTTAGATATATGAGGGTTCTCATTTAGTATTCATCATAACCATAAACTCATCCTTATAATGTAATTTAAACTATTCAAAATCTTATATAAGTGGTTTATCTTTAAAATTCTTAATATGCAATTTTTTTAATGATAAATTTATTTTTTTAAAAATGTTAGTAAGATTATCATTATTTTAAATTCTAAATCTAGTAAAATAAAAAATTAACTTAAATATATTAAAAAATTTAAATTCAATCATAACCATCCAAAATCAATCTCAAAGATCCAAATTAATTTCATATACATCACTATGATAAGCATGGAATATGTTCCCACGTATATGAATATAGATGAATCAATGCATGCATGCTTCTTGAGCTTATTTTTCAGAGTAACATATGTGTGTGGGTGTGTATATGTCTATCATATTTTGGTTTAAGGAGATCTAAACAAAGTATAATAATTTAAAAACTAAAATAGACTAGTGATTGGAAAGAATAAATCCAAGAAATTAATAAAATGTCCATGCAACAAAATAATGGAATAAATAAAATGTCTTCCAAGACAAATTTGCGTGCAAAAAAAAATCCCAACTCCCAATGCTTCTACGTGAAAGCTTTTAAGATAAATTTATACTTTAAACCTGTAATAAAATGTGCTATTAGATGAACCTTAACTCAGAGCAAAAAAAAAAAAAAGTAATTAATGCCCTACTTGGTAGTTTATAATAACAAAGATCATTTATCCATATTATTAGAAACTAAACCAAGCAACTAAAAGGTAAAACATGTCTCTAGCTATTGCATTAAGTACCTGGGCTCCACCATGTTCAACTCATGTACGAGGTCTTCCAACTTATGATTCTGCAGATGTTTTCGGAACCTGACTGCAGCAGCAAGCTTGTACCTGTGCATCTCATAAAGCTCTGGTCGCCAATAATGGTATGGCCCTATGGCCACTTGTTGAGGCACGTACGAATCTGGGTCACAAATCTTGAGAAGCTTCGGTACGTTGAAGATGGACACAGCAGTGAGTTCACCTTCTCCCTCCAGCTCATCATTCTCTAGGGTTTTCTTTATCTCCATCACCCATCGCAGCTCATCGAAGCTTTCCCTGAAGTTCTTAGCTGATGAAACTGAAGAAGATCTTAACGAAGAAGAAGACATATTCCGCTACGACCAAGAAGAAGAAGAATCTGATGCAAGTACCAGGAGAATAATAATGAAGCAGTGCTTTAACTTGCTGGTCTCGGCAAGTATCAGAGTTATTTATAGTATTAAACAATGGGGAATGTTTTTGTCGTGCTTTTTTTTTTTTTTGACCGGAATTTTTGTCGTGCTTTGAAGATAAAGTTATATGTCATTATATTGATAGGTAATAATTACCATTACGAGAATATATTATTATTGTCTCACAGACGATGACAGGTGAATAAATTAATTCTTAAACGTGGTTTGTTTATAATAATGATACTGCATTTGCTTCTAAATATAGAAATTAGATAATTAATTTGTAAATATATATTAGAAGAGTTATTTATATATGAAAAAAAAAATTGTGTATTGGTTTTTTTAAAGTAGCCCCGTTTAATTGTTTGCATTAAAAATTACTTACTTAATGAAAAATTCTTTAATATATGTATGATTAACAGAGTTTAGGGGGAAGAAAATTATGAATCGAAAAACAAAGTGAAGTGATAAAGTCTTATATTTGATTTCAAGGCCAACTCTTCTGGTAATTATTACATTTAGGGTGGGAGATGGTAACATTTTTTTTAAAGACTAAAGACAAGAAAGAAGTACATAATGTTACTGTTCCTTCTTTTCAGCTTTCATCATGTTTTTTGTTTGGTTTTGATGATTTAGGAATATCTTAGTATTTTCGTTGGCTTACTAAGAGACCCCACCATTTTTTAAAAGCTAGTGGTGCTGGGACCATACATATGTGAATGATACGAGTTGCTTATATTAATAAAACACCAATCTGTGGTAGTAGTTGATGAAGATAAGCATGACGAGAATTAGAAAGGTCCATTTTATCATACAACTTTACTTCCTCTGATTTCTCATATAATATGTAAATAACTGAATGATATACATAGATAAAACATGTAATTAATTAGGATTAGTTTGAGGTAATAAATATGTAAGAAAATATAACTTATTTTTG